GGTATGTCTAGGAAAGGGAAAGAGGACTGTATTTATGACCAATTTTCTTTTGACAGTTGTTTGCTGATTTAGTGCTGTGCTTAAGGATGCTTGTAAATATTTTCTTTTCAATAAATATTTTTTTACTTTGGAGGTTGGTTCTCAGTCTCTGTACCACCTAGATTTCCCCACCGTCTCAGACACGCTGGTGCAAGAGGGGCCCCCGGGTTGGGAGGATAGCAGTCAGTGTGCACGTGGCTATTTCCTCCAGGGTGCCCTGAAGCCATGATTAATCTCCATGGTAACCAGGCTCTAGGTAATGGAGGACATAGAAGCAGGGCCTCAGGTTGGAAAGGGGGGTTAGGAGCCCTGTCCCTCCTAGTAGAAGCCACCCTCCCAAAGGGCAGGTGGTGGCAGTGAGTTACCCTAGTGGAAGGAAGAAGTAACCCCTCCAGGTAGTGGCAATGCCAAGGAGGGGTGGGCAGAGCAGGGGCTGCAAGGCAAAGCAGGCCTGGTACACCACAAAGTTTCAGAAACCTGCGTAAGGCAACCTTGTCCCTGTACGTTTCTGGTAATTTTTTATCATCACTGAATTTGTTTACTGATTACTTTTATTGTTGATTGAATTTTCTGCTAGTTTGGTTTTCTGTTGTTCCTGGGCTTGGTTTTTTATTTTGAGGTGATGAAGTTCTGGTCAGGTTATGCTTATTATTTTATTGGGGTGGTTGAATATAGAATAATTAGCAAGTAGCAGAGTTTATACTCCAAATTTCCAATATATTCTAAAAATAAAAACCTTTTCCCATGTTCTAGTGTGTGCAAGAATACAAGGTGTGATGTCTTTAGCACTAGAGGAGAAAATTGAATTATTTTGTCCCAATGTATTATCTACTGACTTTCAACATAACCCCATGTTATAGTTTGGGTTGAGTGCTATTGACTGCCCCAAAGTCACCCCTTTTAAAATAACAGAGGGACGATTAAAAATTTGAACATGGATGCTCCAGCCGAAGTCCAACATTCAAATCCCCTGGCCCATTATATTTTTGCACTATTCTATGCAGCAACTGTGAACTCTTTTGGAAGGAAATGCTACATCTTTTAAAATAACAGAGGGACGATTAAAAATTTGAACATGGATGCTCCAGCCGAAGTCCAACATTCAAATCCCCTGGCCCATTATATTTTTGCACTATTCTATGCAGCAACTGTGAACTCTTTTGGAAGGAAATGCTACATAGGCATCGGGGGAAACACAGAGAAAACTGCAGTAGGCACTTGATTGCACGTATGGTCCTACAGTGAGTACTTAGAGGCAATTTGATGTCAGGTTCCTTTAAACCTCAATGAAGATGACCGTTACTGACCACTTCATGAAGAAACTGAAGCTGAATAGAAGGCCCCTTTTCCTTCTCTATGTGGCACTCATGGTTGACTTTGCTGTACAGGGAAACACTTTGTCATGCGTGCACACGTTGTCACTTGTCTTGTTTTTTGCATTGCAGATGGAACTTTTCTTCCTTCCTCTGGACCCAATGTCACCTCTGTTTCTGGTGGTCAGGCACTACCAGTAACAGTTCCCACTTACACCAGTGCTTTACCCACACTCCAAACAGAGTTAGATTGGGAGAAGCTGTTCACAATACTACAAGAGATCAAGGACATAGTAAACAGAAAAAGTAAGTTCCTTGCCTTTATGTATGAACATGAGCCAGAGATGCCCACCACTTGCCCCTCTCTTTACTTATCAAATGTCATTTTCTTTTATAAACAGCAAAGTCATTGGAAGAACGCTTGGATGGGTTAGAAAAGAAAGTTGACAAAGTCATATATGAACTCAAGTCCTGCAGTCAAGAGGCCAAAGAAAGGCCGGAGGAGGAAGATGAACAGTGATGCTAACTATAGATGTGCTAACAGTGGAACAT